AGACTAGAGAGCAGTACAGAATATGGGTGAATGATGATTGATGAATAACGTCGGGTTCCACAATTGATTTATCTCCTGAATTTATCTTCGCTTTCAGCCAAGTTTGTTGATATCAGAAACCGGTTTGATGCTAATGCTATCATATTAGAGAGCTTCTTTGCCTATATCATATAAAAAAATATGTTGTCATTGTAAACTATCGATCTGAGTCTTGCATTCAAATAAATGAATTCAGTGCTGGGGTTCCTTGATTCATTTTTTCTCAATAAATTGTTAGATTTTTTTTTCCGGGTGTGAGTTTATAACTATTGAAACAAATATTTTACAAGCATATTTGTTTTCATTGCACTTGTTGGGATTAAAAAAGCTGGTTTCTTTCAGCTGCCATGAATAATTTTCGAATATTATGTTAAACTCTCTGATTTTATGTCTGATCCCTCAATTTCGATGTAGTTCTTGCATCAGAGGACGTAGCCAAAGAATGTGGGAAGGACTCCGAAGAGCTTTCTACACGGTATAATACCTTTTTATTATTATAAGTCTCCTATATGTCCATCATCTCTGTAGAACAATTGATTTTTTCCTACTTCACATCAATGCATTGCGAATCAGTATTGTTTTGGGATTATTTAGTTCTCTCTTGTTGTAGAGCAAAGAGAATGTCCATAGATATCGGACCGAGCAGCTTTGCATCGAGGAAGAAGAAGAGTCGGAAGAACACAAGCTAAGTTGCCCTTATGCCTTCTAAAAACAAGTAATTTGCTTGTAATTGACTGTTCTTTCGGTTTTTGTTTACAATTCTAAGTAGCAGTTCCGTTGAATCTTAGAAATCACATTTTCGTTACATGAACGAACACTAGGGTTATGTTAATCTCTGTAAACTATAAAGCACATACATTTCTTACGGGGAACTGGCCAAGTGTCGGTAGCTCATCGTAATTTTCTTATTGCCGGTTCTTGTCGTGTCGGACTCGTATGTTGTAGCCGTGCCCCTGCTTTCTAGGTTGGTCTCTTCCTCACGATGGTCAAGAATGTTGTGAAGTTAGAACAGTGATGTTTTGATGACAGAACAAGTTCACAGCAGTTGCGGAAAAATACTATTAGCATTTGAGAGCACCAACCACCTCTGAATAGTAAACCGGAATCGAAGTCAAACCGGTTCAATTAATATTTAAACCTGCTATTCATATCCGTTATATTATTGCAAATAATATACAAATCTATCAATTTTACGTTTCAATTTATATTTAATAATAATGTTATTTATAATAAATTATAAATATACTTTTATATTTATATAAATTAGTCAACCTAATTAATGTAATTATTTGAAGTTTTAGGTTTGAGTATCAAGAATGACAGGGGTGTGAGACGTTAGTGTCAAATAGTTGAGTGTTATATTTGAATATATTGTTTTGTAATTATCACTGATTAATAAAAATTAATAATAATAAATTATATATATATATATATATATATATATTTAAGTGGAAAATTTTTGATTGAGTTTTGTCATCAAATAATTTAGGAAAACATACAAAAACTAATTTTTTAAAACAATATCAAAACTCATTTTTTCCTTTAGTTTTTATATAAGATTAATTATACTCATGATTATTTAATTTAATTATGAGTAGATTTTATTTTGATATTGATCTTTTAATTTTGTCAATCAGATTGTTCGTTAATATGTGAAGGAAGAATTGCAATGTTAGTTATAAAATTAATATAATTATATATTTGATTTTTATTATTTATATATTCTGTTAATTTATTTTAATAAATTTATTTGGCATGTCATCCTCATATTAGAGGAGAATACATAGATAAAATTTTGTTTATGAAGGAAATTAAACATGAGAAGGTAAGAGACAATCATTAGGTCAAATCTTATATTTGGCATATGAATAATAATATTTTATATTGCGATTAAGGATAAAAATAATCATATAAAATTTAAATTTAATTTTTTGAAGAGCATAAAATATTTAAACCACTCAATAAAAAAATTTGATGATAAATATTTTATACATGTCTTATTTTTGAATAACATGTGATAATTATAAAATATTATTTTAAAATTGATAAAATATAAATATTTTGTACATGCAATTACTCCATCCTATAATTTTTTAAGAAAATTACTTAATGGGTCCTATGCATGCACCTTATCTAAGGAGAAGTATAAATATAAATATATTAACAGAGACGTTGATCCACTTGAAGTTGTCTGAGAGTCCCTCGAAAAAATTCATTATTGAAACGAACCGTTTTTCTCGATTATAACAAAAATAGGAAAATAATGTATTAGAAAGCTAGTTTTTTTTTTTTTTTTTTTTTGGAGCAAAGCATAGCAAATGAAGATCCCTTTACTGTTCTTCACTCTGTTTTCACCAATGAAGTTCCTCTTCGATCCATTTCCGGTAAAAGTTTCAGAACTTTACAGATGCCCAATACTCCCATTTGGTTGATCGACTTGCTTATCTCGTTTCGTTTCGTTTCGTTTCGTTTCGTGTATTCGTTGTTGAAAACAGGTCCCAACAGGACACTGCTTCGAGCACTGGGTCTCCGCCAGTTTTCGGATTTAACTGCAGAAAAAGCCAAACGGAACTACGCTGACAATGTCTCCGAGTACAACACTGTCCTCACTTCTCTCAATACAGACGAAGGTCCCGCCTTTTAACTTGTTGATTCGTCTTGATCTTTTTGATGCCTTTGTTCATAAATGGCGTAGTTTCTGCTTTACACTTTTTTGTTTTTAATTTCAGAAGCATAATATTTTAGGAAAAATAGAATTTGAAGAGTTTTACTTAGCATTTAGATAGCACAAGTCAATCATTTTGCTTTTATAGTACACGTTGTTTAGTTATTTATTCATAATCGATCAATTAATTGGTTGTAGACATCGAATTTTGTACGGGTTAAGTTATTTGATTGCTATCCGTTGATTAAGCTTTGTTCAAAATCAGGCGTATCCTTGGAAGATTTCTTGACGTTAAATTCATTTTTAACATCGTCTAGCTCTGAAAAACTGTTATGACAATGGTTTTCTTTTATATGAATTTTCACGGAAGCAAATGATTGGAAAAACAGACCATACCCTTATTTGTTTGTGAATTTGGTATGGTGATGCGGGCCTTATCTGTTGAGGGATGTTTATGATGATTATGGGAGAACCCTGAGGTATTTTACGTTCCTTTTGTTCCTATCTAGTTTTTTTTGCAGTTATGGGCTATGTTAGGCTTAGGAGTGACTGTCAGATACGAGTATATGTCTGACATGGGTATCTTCTTCTTCTTTTTTTCTTTTCAAAAGTTGTATAGCTGGTGAATTGTTGTTATATGTCCATTTTACAAAAAATGAAGAGTTGGCGCAAATTGGTTATTGGTTCTTTTTAGTATCAATTTTATTATATCAAATTTGGGTATTTCATTATTCACCAAATTATTTGTTAATTATTTATAATAACCGAGTTTTATTTTGTCTAGGGATGACAAACGGGGGGTCGGGTGCGGATACCCCCCCCCCATCCCCATACCCACCTAATATTTTTCAATCTACCACCCGCCCACCACCCATGATAGGTACAAATTTTCAAATCCACACCCGACCACGCGGGTACATTTTCAAATCCATCCCCACACTCACTACCCACTAGCGATATACCCATCTAGACCCGCCTGACAACAAACTAATGGGATGTTGGAGTTGGTTCCCAAACAGTTCGTGATGGGGTAGCAACGCATGCTTCAATTTGTCAGAGGAGTGGCTCTACGAATGTTATGGAGACAAATTGTAGGGAGCATGTAGTCGCAGAGCTGGATTGTTGAGTTGCTTTCGATGTTAATGCTCATAGTGCGTCTAATATGGGTTTTGAGGGGCTAAAGAACATGGAAACTGCTGCTTTTGATGTTAATGCATATAGTATAGCTAATTTGTGTTTGGATGGGCAACATGGGCTAAAGAACATAGAAAGTGATGTGGTTAGTGGGATTATGGTTTTAATCAAAGAGCCGAATATTTTCCTAATTAAAGACCAGATTAAAGACTAAATATCCTTAATATTTGGTTAAATTATATGTTATATATTATACAATATTAAAATTTATAAATTAGTCTCTAAAATTACATCTAAATTTATAATGGTCCAAAATTTAATAGATATTTACCTGGGCGGGCGGATGTGGGACGGGCGGATGCGGGGCGGATAATGTCTCAAACCCATTACCCGCCCACCACCCACGACGGGTACCACTTTATAAATCCACACCCGTCCACTACCCGCTAAAATTATACCCATCCCCGCTCCAATTGGAGCGGATGCGGTGCGGAATACACAAAACTGTACCCGTTTGCCATCCCTAATTTTATCATAGGCCTTTTTGTACAACTTTTTGATCTCAAACTGTGGGAAATGCAAGAATTCTATTCTTTCTGTTCAAGTATCTCTCTCATGTGTTTGTAGAGATATTTTATCTGTTTAACTTTGATATTCTTTTAGTAGCTCAAAATTGGTATTTGTATTTTATCTTTCATGTAAGATTCTGGAAGAAATGAAGAGATACGATGTGAAGCCAAATAGACAAACCTATGTTTGTCTTATTAATGCATGTGCGGCAGCTGGGCGATTGATCAAGTGTATGCTACAATACCTTTGTTTTAACTTCTGTTTTTAAGGTCAATTACTCTGCTTGGATTCTGTGGTCCATGGAATGATTGTTTCTTGGGTTATGCTGCACTATGGTTATAATTGTATGTTTTTGCTGACTGACTGAGGAAGTTTATTCGATTTTGATAATAATTAAGCTAATCTGCATGTAAATGCTTTAGGCTAGCAATAGTGCGTGATATGACTGCTTCTGGTGGTGAATTGAACAAGTTCTGCTATGCTGGACTTATAATTGCACATATGAACATAATACCTCGATCACAAGTTGTAGCAGCCAAGGTAATTTTTTTTTTTAAAAATTATATTTTGAATAGTGTTTCATTCATTATTTATTTATTTTTGTAGTTTTCTAATATTTCTCTCGCCTCTCTAGATTATTGAGTTAGTTGAGCAGTCGAAAGGATGATCATCTGTTGAAGAAAGTGGAAATACTGGAAATACAATGCTTGGCATTTCTAAGGAAGAGTTGTACAACTTACCTACTGCAGACTTTGTTCACAGGCGTTTTCTCATATTCAGGCCGCTTACTGTGTTCCATGTCGCATTTCACACTTGTGCAGATCTTAAGAATGTAGAGGTAATGTTTCACTCTTCAGAAAGTCCACTTTGGACCATCCTCTTCCCCTCTCGATTCTCGAATTACATGTACAAATGCTCGTAGGAATATGAAGTATTGTGTTATTGTTCTTGCCATTCATAGTGTTGGTATGAATGTATTTGTGCATTACAAGATGATGTTATTTTTGCAAATTCCGTTTACTGGGTTTCTCCTGTAAAATCTAGCTACATAAAGTTTTTAATTGACCTAGTACACAGTTTTCAAGTTTTCTTACTTGGCTGGTATCTGTAGTTCCCCCCATCAACTAGTTTTCAATTCCTTTTTTAATCTTTTCATAAATCACAAAGCACTCCGATTTCACCAGTTTTGCTTTTCCAAAGCAAGTTTTGTGTACCACATAACTGTTTTTCTGTTAATATTTATTCATATATTTATCCATGGTCATGGTAGGCTACCGAGACTTTACTCGAGATGCTAAAAAGCGATGGTAAAAATCCAGACGTCTTTATTACCATGCAAATTTTGAGGTATACATTTGTCTTTGATTTGATAATTTTACTGGAAATAGTCTCTTGGGTTCTTGATAATTTTCCCTTTTTTATTATTTGTTTCTATTTTGCCTCCTTATTAGATGATATCTGAATGCTGGAAACATCGACCGAGCTGTTCAAATTTTCGAGGACTACCTTAGTGAAGGAAAACCTCCCGCTATGGAACTTTATGCAGTAAGTTTAATCATTACTTGCTAAGATAATTTTTTTGTTGATCTTTTAGTTTTCTCCGCGATGTCTGAATCTGAATGGATGGTCCATTTCTTTCTTTTTCTACCAGGGAAAAGCTCGACATTAACTAATGTCGAACATATCATTTATTTGTATAGTATATTTGAAGTCCACTTTATATATGGCAGTAGAGATAATGTGGAACCACTTGTCTCTATTTATTTTGTACTTTGTACAGCTAGCTTGCTCGTTATTACTATGTTCTATTGTCACTAGTGGCCTTATCCTATGTGAAGACACTAAATTTTTATCCCGGTTCTATTATTTTTTTATTATAATAATTATAATTATAATTATTTTATTATTATTATTAAATAATTTTATTTATTTTACAGGTTCAAATATTAAATCCCAAGGCCCAATTACAAGACTCAAATATATAACCCTAATATCAATTAGGGTTTACATCCCAACCGCCTCCTCCTCAACTATTCAGTTACTGTCGACACCTCCAACGCCAAGTGACCCAACCAGCAGCTGCTGACTCCTTGCTGCCACGGCACCACCATCGTCGAAGTCTCCAGAACCGCTACGAAACCACACACGTCGCTGCTCTAGGGGTGAGTCACCATAATAGTTTGGTGACTCACCAAAGCTTTCCCCTTTGGACTGGTCCGAGCCGAACACTGTGGTGGCTATAAAAGCCACCACCAAACCCTGCAAACAGAGAGCAACCGAGAGATACCGAGCAAAATAGAAAAAAAAAAAGCCAAACACAGAGAGAGGAACCCAAGAGCAAGCAAACAACCAACAGAGCATAACGAAACAACCACCAACAACAAAAATAAAAGAGAAGAGAAGAGAGGAACTTACTCTGTCGCCAGAAAGCTCCAAACGTCGCCAGAGAACCAAAACGCCGAAGGTGAAAATCGTAGATTTACGATATATTATGAGGTTTTAGGTTAAAATAACCTTAGATCGGGCCTTAGGACGTTTAGAGCTCTGTTTTGGGGTATTTTGGGGTTTTGGGGTATTTTGGTGTTTTTCGGCCACCGTCAACGGAAGGCCGGCGGTGGTCGACGGTGCCGGAGCACGGCTTCCGGCCGACGGCTTCCACCGTCGTTTTGATGAGGGGTCTGGATGTAATTTCAAAATAGTTAAACTACACGCACAGTCACCTGAAGTTTATAAACTTCCATTTTAGCCACTGAAATCAATTTATGAACATATTAATATTATATTCGAATTTTATTTTATCGTATTTTAGTCCATACCAGTATACATATATTTTAGATTAAATACTAGATTTAGTCCCTCATGTTTTGATAAATTTCAGTTTAAATTCTCAATAATTAATAAGGCTAAATTACATTATTAGCACTTATATTTTTTATTTTTTTGTTAAAGCTTTTAATTTTAATTAAGTTTTATTTTAATCACATATTAGTAATTAGGGGCTAATTACACTATTAGTAATTATAATTTTATAATAATTTGAATTATGTTCATTAAATTTTGATATTTTACATTTTATTCCTGTTGTTTTAATTTTTATTTGTTTTAGTCACTTTTAAATTGCAATTTTAATTTTTTATTACACTATATGTTCCAATACTTTAAATTATAGTTACTTATATACCTTTCCTTAAATCACGTATTAATTTTAAAATAGTTGTAGTTGAAAAAGTGTTTTTGTTTTATTATAAGACTTTTGATGTCGATTAAATGGAAAAGTATACTTACCCTCAATCGTGTAAACCAGATCTCTGCTTTTGCATTGAATTATTTTAGCTATATATATTTAGGGCCAATACCATAATTAGTCCTTAATGTTTTTTTATTTTATAATAGTTCGATAATTTTTATTTTTTATTTTATATACTTTACAATTTAATTTTATAATTTTAATTTCTTTTAATCATTATTTATTTGCAATATTATTTTATTATTACTTTTATATTTCAATTATTGCTTCAATTATTATTTTATTATTATCTTAGTCATATAATTATAAATATATATAATAAATAATATTTATTTATTTTGTTTTTCTATGAAATAAAAATCTTATTTATGAACTATATATGTTTAAATTTTATTCTATTATTATTTTAAGAAAATATTTTAGTTATTTATTTATTTTTTAATGTTGAAGGAAAGAGCTGTCTTAAAGCAACTAGAAGCCCTTTTCTAAATATTTTTAAATAAATAAATATCTTACTATATTAAAATAAATTTTTTAAATGTTTTAGTTATTTATTTATTTTTTTAATATCAAAGAAAAGAGTTGTCTTAAGTTACCTAGAAGCCCTTTTCTGATATTTCCAAGTAAATAAATATCTTATTTATAAATATATATATACATACATATATCTTAATATATTTTCTTAAAATTATATTAATAAACTTAAAATAATAGGATTATAAATTAAATATATTTTGAATTTTTAATTTCTAATAATAGAGACAATTTTTAATTAAAAAGTACCAATTTTGGGCGTTGTAGGGGTGCTAATCCTTCCCTAAACGTAACCGACCACAGATCCCTTTTTATTATTAAAAAGAACGAATTTTTGGTTAAAACGCATATCAGTTTATCTTTTAATCGATGTTTTCTTAAAAACTCTTTTAAAGGATGATTTTTAGGTATTCAACCTACCTGATCCAAAAGGCTGATGGCGACTCCCAAATTATTTTAAAAACCATTTATTCACATCACTTTTCCCGCCAAATAAAAAAATTCGTGCCCGGACGAAAACCGGTTACGACAGCTTGGCGACTCCGCTTGGGAACTTTTCAAGCTTTTAAAATCAATTATAAATTGTCTCTATTAATTATAAATTAAAATATTTATATATTTAATTTATAATTCTTTCTTTTCAAATTTTTTATATATACTTATTATTTTTATAGTATTTATATTAATATTTCATTTTACTTGCAAGTATTTTATTTCATTATTTATTTTTCTGTCAGAGGTTTGAACATTTCTTCTCACACACAACACTTGCATTGCATAACATAAAGCTCTATAATTGAGTTTGTCCCTTTTAAGTGGGAGTGAAAGCGACGTCTTCGTGAGAATTTATTCTCTGTGTCAGACCTAGCAAGTAACTTTCGGGGTTCATATGCTCTATGTCTTCATGAGAATTTATTCTCCGTGTCAGGCATAGAGAAGTGTATCCCCTCGAATTGAACTCGATCCACTTTAGTCTGTGATGGACTAGGATTGAGGGTTGGCAGCCCAAGGGGGCATCAACAAGGACAATTCGAGTACCTTTACTCCTAGAACTAAAAACCTGCATATAATAAACCCTAGAAACTCTCCCGATCTGAAACCATGCCGAAATTTTGTCAGTAGGTATACACAAAGGACAAATAAGTTCTAGCTTTTATTTCCTTTTCTTTTTCCTGAATAAATGTATACAAACTAGAAATCATGCGGTTAAGCTAATTTTTCCAAACAAAGCATGGAACTAGAAAGCATGAGGTTAGGATTTATACCTTGATAAATAGATTTTTTCCATTAATTGGTACTAACTATTCTATTTTTTCTTATTTCTTTTGCTTGCATTGCATGATCATGGTATAACCAAAAGGTGTTGACTTGAAAGACTGTTCATCAAATTGGAAAGAAATCGTAAATGGACAAAAAGTTTTATGATCAAACAAAATATGATGCGGCCAAGGAAAGACATCCTGAAGAAACTACGAGGATCGAGGGAAGTTCTGTACATAGAGAACCGATTATATTAATACCAAAAGTATTACACAAAGATCCTACCAGATTGATACCAAAAGCAGTTTACAGTAAGAATATCAGTCGGGACATTCAGAGTAGTGGATGTTTTTATGAAGCTCAAGCATGTTATTTGAAGGACTTGAACGACCAAAACAAGAAATTGAGCACAGAAATGGAAGCCATGCATAAAGATTTCCAGAAGATTAGTCAAGCCTTTCAAAATGCTGGCATAGGAAACACCCCAGAAGAATGGATCACAGGGGTCACCAAGCTGAAAAAGAACTGCAACATATATGAAGATCTTGTTCAAGAACTTCTTGGACATAAAGGTTCTCTTACAAGGGAAAATGAGCAACTCCGAGAAGTGACACAGAAGATGAAAGAGAATGTCATGGAAGAAGTTGCAGTCCAGACAAGCAATATGTCCCTTAAGCTGATAGACTAATTTGGCTTTGGAGAAGTTAGGAATGAAATATATCCATATATGTAAAGTTTTGTTTGATGTACCGAAACTTTTGCGTTCAATGAAATCTGTTTTAAGATGATCACTCTTGAGTAACACCTTTTCATACATGCATTGGTATTTTGCATTTGTACATTTTTACGTTTGTATTTACATTTACATTTTTAAATTTACATCATGCATTAAAACATATTTAATTAAATAATAATGTTTATTTATTTTCAATATCAAAGAAAATGGCAGTCTTAATATAACTGGATGTCCTATTCTGGTATTTTAAATAATTTACATTTACATTTTTACATTTGCATATTTACATTTGGCATCTTTGCATTTGTATTTTTATGTTTTCTTTTGTATTGCACAATTTGTATTCTTATTATTACATTCACATATTTACATTTGCATTTGGCATCTTTGCATTTTTTATGTCATAATACGTTAAAACATTCATTCATTAAAATAAGGATTTCAACCGAAGTGATCTTGGTTCTCCCTTGTAGAAGAACGCTTAGCACAACACAAGAAAAATGTCTAAAGAAACTAAGGATAGGCTAGCCAAATTTGAGATAGAGTAGAAAGAAATACAAGAGGAATTAAGGAGCAAGTTGGCACAAATTGAAGCTAATATCACAAATTCTCATATCAATCTACTGAACAATATGAAAGAAATGATTGAGAAGTACCAGACAGCTGGAAAGAGTCTTATTGAAAACCCTACAAATTCTTTGGGTATTACACCTGTTCATATTCCTGAGTTCACCTCTGTACCCCAGGAAATTCAATCACCGATTTACTTCGCTGTTAAGAACTCACCATATCAAGCTGGAGCATCATTCCCCACTGATTGTCCTACTACTTC